GGATCTCTTTATCAGGCTTCAACAGTTGTAGGGAAATGCTGACTGAAGTTATTGTTGTGAGGAAGGGGGAACACATCCTAGGAGAAATGGACACTTCAAAAGCACTGAGCACTGGGACACCCAGGAAAGTTCTGTTTCAGTTTATAAAAGTTTCCAGAGGTCACACTCCACTCCCTCCTGCGGCTTTGGCCCAAAACAAGAGTGTCAGAAACATTCACTCCAAAGCTTTTATTTTGTTTTTGTGGTTTTTCCTTTTGTTTTGTTGCTCTCGTTTCATTCCAGAAGAAAGCAAGACTGTAGGGAGAATTTCGGACCATTTTGAAATCAGACTATAAGGAAGGATATGTTTATCTAGATATTATGCATGCAGATTTTTTTTCTCTTAAATTGAAAAACATGACATTATTTGTCTGTCAAAAAGAAACAAAATAACTTAGCACAAGGAAACTGATAATGTGCCTGCAAATTAAAAATAAGGCCATTAAAGAACATTTCTGGATGTAAGATTTTTTTTGTTTTAGAGAAACACAACTATAGTCATCAGGTGTACCTTCTAGATAGCACTTATTTTAGGGTAAAAGTTTATAATTTTAAGGTAGCATAGTGTTGATTGACAAAGAAAAGAAGTTTTGAAACTTTTCTGTAGTAAGTGGAGTGCATTCGTGCTTATCCATACATAAAATGAGAAGTCCAGATATGACATTTAAATAGATTAATAGTCATCAAGAGTAAATAATCAAGTAGGCAAAATGGTGAAACTAGGGAAAAAATCATGAGAGGAGAAGCAAAATTCTTTTACTTCCTCCTTAATCACTTGAATGTGCCCTGAATAAACCTATTCCCCTTCAACATAATCTCTCAGAGAATTTTTGGTCAGATCTGGAGAGCTTCAGACTACTGACCTAGAGATGAATGGACCCAAGCAGGTCAGATCCTCTGGGGCATAAGTTTTGGTCATGGTTACACACTAAATATTTGACCAAATTAATTTATGCACAAAACAAGCAAATAGTTTATTTTTTTGTCAAAGCATAAAGCATTTTAATATAACCCCATTCTGCTTGCATTAGTCTTGTGACTCTATACTTTCAGATTATATCATTTCAAAGGGACCAAGGGTCTTTGCTGTGAAAGAAAATGGCTCATAAAATTAAAAAAATGGAAAATGTTTGAAATGAGAATATTAAAAAAAATATAAAACAAAACATAAAAATAAGCATAAACTTGTACAGCATAATGATCTCCAACTTCAGTTTTTAACACAAAAAAAGGTAAAAATTAGAATGACAGACTTTTTGGCTGAAATGTGCTACGAATAATTGTGATGAGCATCAAAGAGAAGAAAACTGTCAGTATTTCTGTATGCAAAACTCACTATTGTCAAGAGAAAAAAATTACATGTTTCCAGAATATTAACTTCTTCAATACATACATGAATTTTACCACAATATTACCACAGAAGGAAGCAGTTTCATTGGCATAATTACAAATTCATTTTCTCATAAGGTACTTCAAAGACTGCAGATCTCCACTGCAGTGACATTTGGATTGCTGTCTCAAGGAATTCATCTCAACATGCTTTAGAGTCTGTGGTTTAGTAGCTTTGAACATATATTCACCACAAATTATTTTTAAAAAATCATATTTTATATCAATTAGTTGTTAATAAGTACAGTTGTTGTATTTAGACATTGGTGTAATATGTCTTGGCTGGTGATGTAGATGATAAAGTTTGTTGGGAGACGATTCTAAGTTTTGACATTTAAGTTTTGACACTTAAACAGGAAAATGAATTACTAGAAGGGAAATCTTATTGTTAAATGGTGCAAGATGATATTTTCCACTGATCCACTGGTACAGCATAGAAAATTACACCTATGTTAATAGTGGTATTTTTGCATATCTTTGAAACAAAACTTTTCACTGTGATGGTGCAAAATGACTGGTGGTAATCAGTTTGTAAATTATTGGATATAAGATGGTGTCTATGATTCCTCTTCCAGATCCACCAGCATGAAACTCTGATGGGTCTTTGGGATCAAAGCTCCAGAAACATGAGCATCTCTAGAATCAGAGATCTGAGAGCTGGGACTTTTCAGCCTGGACAGGAGAAGCTTTGGCCTCAGCTCCCTGTGGCCTCGCAGGGCCCGAAGGAGCCGCAGGAAAGGTGCAGAGAGACAATTGCCAAGGGCTGCGGGGCCAGGAGCCAGGGAATGGCTGCCAGTGGCAGAGGGCAGGGCTGGATGGGATCTTGGGCAGCAATTGTTCCCTGGCAGGGTGGGCAGGCCCTGGCACAGGGTGCCCAGAGCAGCTGGGGCTGCCCCTGGATCCCTGGCAGTGCCCAAGGCCAGGCTGGACATTGGGGCTGGCAGCTCCTGGGACAGTGGAAGGTGCCCCTGCCATGGCAGGGGTGGCACTGAATGGGCTTTAAGTTCCCTTCCAACCCAGACCTTTTTGATTCTATGCAAGATGTTCACAAACGTATCCCTTGCTGAGGACACTGGAAGAGAAACCCCAGTGTTTTCTGACAGATTGTCCCATGATCCCAGTGCAGATCCTTGTCTGAGTGATCTGCGCTGAAAGCCTGACTGCAGCCTTGTCAGGGGTGAAGTGATTCAGACGGATAAAAAGAGGAGGCCTTTCTGATTTACAAGGTGTCTGTGTTTGTTTACTTGGTTATTTGTATCATTTGAAAGAGTCTGTGACTATGTTGCCTGTTTTGGATGTTGTGAATATTGTGTTTGCATAGCTTCAGACAAAACTCAGTGTGACTGCAGATAATTGCAAAAGAGCAGCAAAATTAGAAAAAGCACAGTGATGCCCAACACGTGCAGTAAGCAGAATTACCTATCAGTTTCTTTCCCCTCCCTAACTGTGTTGCCTGGTTTATAGGTAAAATGGTTTATAGGAATGTTATAGGAATGTTAGGAGAGGCAGAAATACCTAGCTGTCACTATCTCTGATCACAAAGGCATTTCTGCTATGCAGAAAGATGTTGCAGAGCATGGCCAAGGCCAGAGGTGGCACAGGGAGTAGTCTGCCCAGAGCAAATCTAAGGATTGAAAGGTCTTGCCAGAGAGTTGAAACGTGACTGAGGAAAAAGTCTGAGTTTGGAGGCAGTTGTTCCCTGTTCCCATGAAAGATAGGCACTTGTAATCATGAGATTAATAGGTTCTAAAATCCATCCTGCGGTTAGACCGCAGTGTTGTAACAGCAACAGCTGTACCCATGCACTTTCACAGGAAAAACGAAATCTAGGAGACAGATTTTCCCCAACTGCCCCGATAATTTGTGAGGGAAGCATGTTTGTTAGTGAGACAACAGCTTGAACTCTGATCTATTGATTATGGTTGCAAAATTTTGACAATATCATAAAAAAATTCTCCAAGTTTAGAGGCAATTATGTACCTGAATCAGTCTGGAGTCACAATAACCAAATTACCTAGACTGACTAGGCAGCAGGAGCATTTTTTCTCCCCTCTGCCAAAGTTCTTCTTCTTCTGGATTTGACAGAAATTGAGCAATAATTTGCTGAAATAGGGTTTTCTGCATCTTTGCTGCAAAGCTTTGTGTATATAAAACACGTTTAAAGCTGTTGGCAGATAAGCAATAAAGATAGCCGAACTTAGATTCACATAAAACTCCATCATATATCCACAAAGTCACCTGAGTGATACTTTCAATATGCTAGGTACTGATACAGCTGAGGCTGAGCTGGAATCTCTGCATCTCATCTGTCCATTCACTAGCATAGAGAACAGGAGTGCAACTCTATCTTGCAGTGAAGTAGTATAGGATAGATACATAAACGAGAAAAAAAGAATAATAGAAGCCATTCCAGTGTGAGATGTGATGGAGCACAGCTCGGCCATATCACGTCTTTCCTTCCCTCTTGGGAAGAGGGCAAGCACAGAGAAATATCCAGACCAGATCAGCAATGCACAACAGCTCCTCCACGTACCAGGGGAGTGCTCCACCAGGCACAGGCTGCCAATTTATTGGTCTTCTTGCAGTGGATGAAAGATGTGGAGGATAGAAGAAATAAATCCACCTGAGAATCTGGCCCTGGAGTATTTAGGGGTCATATCGTGTGATTGGGATTTTCATACCTCTATTGACTTCACAAAGCCAATAGAAAATATATATAGAGATGGGAAAGGAAGAAGTAGAATCCCCAGACCGCACTGTCTCTCTCAGGTCTGGTGTGATATCCTTCGTTTTGTCTTTTCAATGCTTCTTCATCTCTCTACAGAAGCTGTAAGTGTATATTAGGGTCTCTGCTTTGCAGCCTGAGCGCAAGTAAAGGCTCCAGTCTGTACATGTCTGGGAAAAAAAGTCTTACAGGCTTTTTCTCGACAATTCAATTTTTATTCCAGGTGTTTCTCTAAGAGAGATCGTTCTCTGTTGTGTAGGCAAAATGCCATATGAAGCAAGTCAGGAGGGATCTTTCTTTTATAATGCCCTATGTTTCATTACACTCTGGCAAGCAAAGCGTGTTTTATGGCTTTTATTTTATTTCCTGAACCATTTTACTGATAGAGGTGAGAAAAAGCTCTTCAGATAAGAAACAATGAATGAAAAAATAAAAAGCAAAGTGACAGTAACTTTTCCACAGGAGTAAGAGGAGCAGATACTAGGAAAGTTCACAGACAATATTGGGGGGAGCTGTCAACTCCCTGGAGGGCAGGGAGGCCCTGCAGAGAGGCCGTGAGAAAGGAGAGGCCTGGGCCAGCCCCAACCGTGTGAGGTTTATCGAGGGAAGGAGCCGGATTGTGCCCTGGGATGGGATAACCCCGCATGTAGGGACAGACTGGGGAACGAGAGGCTGGAAAGCAGAGCCAGGGAAAGGGACCGGGGCTCCCGGTCAGTGGCCGTGCCCTGGGGCCGGGAGGGACATCCCTGTCCTGGGGCGCCGGGCCCAGCAGGGCCGGCCCGGCCAGGGAGGGATTGTCCCGCTCTGCTCTGGGCTGGGGCAGCCTCACCTGGAATGGTGTGTGCAGTTCTGGGCCTGACAGAATAAAAATGACATGAAACTGTCAGAGATGTGCAAAGGAGGGCCATGGGGATGGAGAAGGGCCTGGAGGGGCCGCGTGAGGAGCAGCTGAGGGCACTTGGTCTATTGAGATGGAGGAGAGCGAGGGGAGACCTCACTGCAGTTCTGCAGCTTCCTGCTGAGGGGAAGAGGAGGGACAGGCACTGATCTCTGCTCTGTGACCAGGGACAGGGCCCAGGGAACGGCCTGAAGCTGTGTCAGAGAGGTTTAGGTTGGATATCAGGAAAAGGTTCTTCCCACACAGGGTCACTGAACAGTGAGCTCCCCAAGGAGTGGATCAAGGCTGAGAGATCAAGGAGTGTTCAGACAATGTTCTCGGGCACAGGTGTGACTCTTGGGGATGGATCTGGGCATGGCTAGGAGCTGGACTCGATGTTCTTTGCATATCCCTTCCAACTCAGCATGCTCTGTGGTACTGTGAACATCATTTAAATACGAAAATCTCTCAAAATTTGAAACATTTACTGCTGAATCAGTGGCTCTTCCAGGGGCATCACCCTCTTTCCACACAGAGTGCACACGTTTGCTTTCTCTGCTTGTACCAGCAATACCTCTAAAATCTTCAGGAAGCAGTGTTTTATGTTATTCTGATCTTCAGTGTTTCTCTAATACCCCCCAATAGCTTATGTTTGCAGTCAGGAAACATCCTTCATCACAAAAAGCAGGACAAGGCTGACCACCCCTCTACAGCAGAGTGCTTCCAGCCACTGCAAGATACAAGCAGATAAACCTTGTTTTTTACAAAAAAAAAAAAAAAAAAAAAAAAAAAAAGCTCTCCCTCTAAATAATACTATGCTCATATTTGGGCAATAATCTCAGAGGGTTTGTTCGCAGTATGACTGGATAGTTTGTACCAAAATTGTAATCAAAATTTTTATACACATCACTCATACATACACTATGAAAGCCAGAATCCATCTGTCTGGATCAGAGGAAAGGTTCTCCTGGGAGCTCCAGCTTGTTGCCTAATGCAGGAGCTCCTTCTATTGGCAGACAAATTGAGTTAGAATGGGAAAAAGTTACCTGATAAAAGGGGAGTAAAGATAGTTTTTGATGCAAATTTTAAGCTTAAGATGAACTCCTATTAAACACAACTATATACATCAACTGTTAAGAGCCTAGAGGAAATGCTGCACTGAAATTAATTTAATTTTGTAATGAAAGAATGAAAGCTTGAACCTTACTGTTAAAACATTCATTTTAAATAAGTGATTAGCAATTCCCTGTTAGATCCTCAGCAAATCTTGTTCTTAGATCTTTGAGCTGCAAAGCTATGATTAAATATGATATGAAAAGGGCCTATTATGGTGAGTAATACCTTTTTTTAGTAGTCATATTTTGTTCATCTAGGCATCTTTTGATCATATAAAAAGATTTTGCCAGTAATAAGAGAAAATTTTTTGAACATTTTTTCTGTTGGTATCACTCAGAGGATTTGTTTTGTCAGGTCAGTAAAATTCCCAGGGTAATCCCAAAGTAACTGCTGCCACTTAGTATAAGGTTTAAGAGTTTTCCAATGTTAAGGTCAGTTTTAAAGGATATTTAAGGGTCAGTATTGTGCAAACTGATGCAGTACTGGCATTGATTGTGGAGGAGCATGGAGGAGCATGGCTGTGGAGCATTAATCTAAAACTAGGCTGTTTTGTCATCTGAAATTAAAAACAAGGTTCTCATCAAACTTACAGTAAGTTATGGTCCTTATTTTTTGTTAACAGATTTCCATTGCCAGTGAAATCTGAGTTATCATTCCTAGCAGTCTGAAAAAGTGGAAAACCACTTCCAAATTTCAGTGTACAAATGCTGAAGACTAATCATGATTTTTTTTTTTTCAGAGACAAATTTTGAAAAGTACAGACAGTGCTGCAATAGAACAGAGAAATATGAAAACAGAACCTGCAGCTGTTCTCTGCAAGTTGAACATGGGGATCAATGTGTTCAGGGAGAACCTTTTAAGTCTGGGCTCACCTCTCCTCACCAGTACTAACAACTGAACAAGCTTTAATAACTATAGAATCTTTTCAATGTCTTCCAAAGGATATTAACTTCTTCCTTGACATCATGAAGACAAGCACCCTGTCAGAGGTCTAAAGAAAATTCATTTACACATTTCTTAAAATCTCAAACCTTCAAATAGAGACTTGATTTCATGCAAGATTTTTGCACGGTTTTGAGGAGCTGTCTCAATACCAATTAACTCACAAGGTTACTCTGGCATGTGAAAAAAAAATACAATAATAGAACTCACAGTTACTAGTGTAGAGATATAAGATTTTAGGCTTGTCACAAAAAATGAGAACAAGTGTGACAAGTCACAGAATGAGTTGTCTTATACATCTGCTGAGTGGGAATGGAGAGCAGCAACACAAACAAATAATAACTTATAGCTCACAGACTGTCTGATATGTTAACGACCTGATAAATTAAATACCAAGTAAAAATATCATAAAATAAAATAGTCCTATGTTGTCAAGACTTCTTCTTGGACTAGAAAGGCAATTCTGCTATATATATATATATGTGTGATTTAAGAACAGGAACTCGAACATCACAATGATTTTTTGATAAGCAGTCTCAGCCAGTCCATATTAAATTGATACCCTTCTGATGTCCCCTAAAAATTAAAAATAAATTATGAATAAGAGAAATTGTAAATTAGGCTGAGGATTCAAGCATATCTGGTCCAAGAATGTAATTACCTATTTCTAATTGCCATTCCAATCCCAAAGAAAATCTTCACTGAGTGGGAAAATATGGGTTGAATGTACTTAGAACAGTAAATGCTGGCCTTGGAAAATACAAATTTACAAAATACCCTGCATTTACATTACAGAGCAATATTTGCACTAGTTTTGATACCAGTTTTCAAACTGACTCAAAGTCACTGAACCAAGTGTATTCCACTTTCTATTCATGAACATTTTGGCAGTGAATTCAAGCATTCCAATGGTTGCACACCTGTGTGCAATAATGTAGTTTGGGATGCAGGACTGGACCACCCTAGCTGCAGTGCACTTACCTCTCCTGCTGCAGTGGAAATGGACACACCAAATCCTGCAATCACTCATCCAGGTGAGGCACACCTTCAGCACCAAAGCCATGAGAAACCATTTTGGGTGGGAAACACCAACTGCACAAGCCAGGATTTGAGCTGACCTACTCATACACTGACTGCTCCATGAAAAGAATATTCACTGCCATGTGGAGTCTTCCTAAGGAACATGGCTGGAGTGAGAAACTCTGCTACAGACACCTTTAGAAACAGAGCTGAGCAATGTCGCTTAGAACATGCCTTGTTTTGTTGTGGTTGGGAGCAAGTGCATTACAGAGAGCATCAGAGATTTTGCCAATGAGGTTTCAGGAACTGTACATTCTCTGCTGATAATCTGGATATGGACTGCTTTCAGTTCCCAGGAAAACTTTAAGAGAAGAGCAAAAAACTCCTCAACATTGAGAAATGATGTCTCATCCATGTGCCTTGTCCAAGCATGTTACAAGTAGGAATTCCTCTTCCACTTGAAGTCACTCACACCCTGCCTCTCTCTCCCATAAAAGGGTGCTTCCATTGCCTTGAAGATTTCAGGCTGAAAGAAAATTCATAGAATGGTTTGGCTTGGAAGCCCATCCAGTGCCAGTGGCAGGCCATCCAGACATGGCAGGGACACCTCCCAGTGTCCCCAGAGTTCCCAGCCCCAATGTCCAGCCTGGCCTTGGGCACTGCCAGGGATCCAGGGGCAGCCCCAGCTGCTCTGGGCACCCTGTGCCAGGGCCTGCCCACCCTCACAGCCAGGTATTCTTTCCCAATATCCCATCTATCCTTGCTCTCTGGCAGTGGGAACCATTCCCCCTTGTCTGGCACTCAAACCGTGGAAATATTCTCTCTCCATCTTTCCCACAATTCCTCCAGACACTGGAAGCTTGCAATGAGGTTACTCTAAAGCTTCTTCTCTCCAGGCTGAACAATTATCCCAGTGTTGCATTTTTTTTGTGGAAGGACTCCACAGAATTTGTCCTTTGCTGACCACAGAATTGAGAACATTGCCCCTACAAAATAGGCCCTCTTGCCCATTAGGCATTACACTCTGTTTTAAAATGCAATAGTTTCAGTGAGAAAACAGACAGATATCATTTAAATAGGTTCCCTGTCATCCCAAAACACCACCTTAGACTAATGCATATCTTCAGTATCAAAATAAGTGAACTGTGAGCTTTGGTGGAGGGGGATGGTTCACCTGCAAGTAGACACCCACCCTCAGTGAAGAAAATAAGTTTTCTTATGAAATTTTCACTAATGCCCATATTCCAAGTTGGTGATTGTTGGAATGTTGTTTTTTTAAAGTCCAGGAACAATGTCACTGTTCCACTTGGGCAATGATTCAGCTAAGGAATGTTCCGAGGCTGTCAGGGGATGACCGATAATCTCTCATTCCCTTCCTTAGTCAAACAGAAGTTCCTGTACAGACACTCCCCATCTAAATCATGCAGGAGTTTCTAGAATAGACAAAGGATGCTTCACTGCTCAGCCCATTACTCAAAGTCTGGGGGATATCAGGAATTCCTGGGATTCTACAGCAGCTTGAGGACAGGGCAGTGTGTGGGATGTACTACCACAACAATGCAGTACATGTGAAGACTGCCTTTCTTAATTCCAAATAAGTTAACATGAGAGTTTCTGTTAGTCTTTTATTTTGAATAAATCAAAACATTTTCATCTGCTAAGTTATGGCATAAATTCAGTAAATAACCAAGTTAATGAAGCAGCAATAAAAACAAACAAACAAACAAAAAAACAAAAAATCAAACGCTGAACCAAACTAAACACAAATAACCTGACAGATAAAAAGGATCTGCAAGACCATGCTGAGACAACTCACCATGTGCGCTTGCCAGGATTCCTCAATAGCTCATGCTCCACTCATATTCTCTGTTCTGTCTCCAGATCACCATGGTCCTTTCATGTCAAAATCAGATTTTTCCAGAGATCCTGGCTGGTGTTTCTTTAAATCTCTGGGCACCCAGCCCAAATGTGCCTGGGGGAAGAAACTTACATCAAGAGCTGTCTCAGGGCATGCTGGTGGCAACTCTTTCTCTGGAAAGGACCTCAGACGAAACTACAAGTTTTCTGTCCAGCTCTAAATGAGATGTTATTTCACCTCTTCCAGCTTCTTTTGGGGTTTAGCAATGAATTTCTCTTTCTAGTCTTGCCATTTTCCACTGGAAGTTTCCCATGTTTAGGTGGAAAATGTAGAAATTAAATATACTGCAAATTCTCTCTTAAACAAGACTGTGATGAAATAAACAGGGGGAAAAAGAATTAAAAGGAAGTCAGAAAGTATATTATTCTTTCCTAGGTTTTGCATGTGCAATTCATTCTGAGGCAGCCTTTTTTAGGTTTTCTCTGTGTGTCCTGCTCTCTAAAATGGCTGAAGAGCTGTACATCCTACCCTTGGATGGAAAGCCCACCTTCAAGGACAACAGTTTGGAGTGTGGTGGCCCATCCTCACAGAACTGGAGCTGAAGAAGGTGGCAGTATGAAAAAAAAAGGGGAAGAAAATTGCCATCATTTTGTTCCTTGAATGGATTACAAATGAATGTTTTTAAGAGCAGGGAGAGCATTGTTTATCTCTAAGGGGGTACAGCACCATGAGAAAGTACTTGCAGCAGAAGAGACTCCTGAAATCAGCCTTTCCTCTAAAATTGTGGATTTTACTTCAATCACCAATAGCCCGAGAATTTTAACCTAATGTGTCTAACACACATTTTCAAGGGGTACTTAAAATCAGAAAGTGGAAACAATGGAAAATTTCTGAATTAATTTAAATTCCAGTCTTTGATTATGTTTAAGGAATTAGCTGAGCAGCAAACAGGAACTGCAGAATACCTATGAACTATATTTGAATTACATCATGAGCATAATGTTGCAGTTAAATAAGTACTACACAAAACCATTAACTATCAAGACCACACTACTCTTTTTTCTATTTCTTTTTGAAAATCTGCACTCAGGGTTTTAGCACTGAACCACAGGGCTGTTAAGCTGTAATAAAATATTGTATCAGGAAAAGCTAGAACGAGCTGTAATAATGAAACCTTGATTATAGGATGTACAGAGCGATAATATCTATCAGATAACCTTTCTTTACCTAATTTGTGTAGGATTTTTTGCTACATTTGTGCTTGTAAGTGGAGAAGTAAAAATTATCTTCATTTTAATCAAGCTTCAGTGATTTTAGTTTGCTCGGATTCCCCTTTTTCTGTAATTATGAAGACATTTGTTTCCAGCCTTACATTTCAGTAATGAAAAAATCAGTGTGGAAAAAAGAGATTATATGAAGAATTTTATGTAAGTGATTTGCAGTAAACAGTTGCAAAGCTCATGAGTATTGTGTGGGAATTTGTGTGTTTCAGAAAAACAGGAACCAGAGAAGCCATAAGCAAAATAATTTTCTCCTTTATTTCAGCAATTGACTGGAGATTAGAGAAAAATAGCCACTAATCTTTCATCCCACAGGCCAGCAGCAGGAACTGCCGTGTTCTGTGACTGCAGAAGGAAGGATCAAAATTCACAGGAAAAGTGGCAGGTCCTGATGCTCAGACACATCCTCGTTACAGCAGCGATTTGAGGTCAATCACACGAAATACATCCCATACTCTCAATCCTTTAGATCTGAAGTGTAAAATACAAGGAAATATTTATTTCTGGGATTGCCATTCTCTTTTGGAGTGACTTTTACTTTTGATGGCACATTCCTGTGCAAACCACCAAAGCAACTTCATCACAGGCTTTTTCTCACACATTTTATTACAGGCTGGAGTTAAAGCTATAAATGCTGTATTAACCTTGATCAACATTTCTTCACAAATAAACTCTGAAAAACTCCTTACCTTCACCTGCTTTTCTGAGTGAAAGGAAAAATGGGAGGGAATAAAAATATTATATTTGAAAACTTAAGTTCTAATGGTGTTGCTGACTAGTACACCGTAAGAACATAAGCCTAGCTTTTTGAGGAAACTGCTTTTGTAAACTAAAAAACAGCCAGCATTTTATTTGCACAGTTTTCAGCAAAAAAGATAATATTACAATTTTCTAAAACATGTGGGAAAGAATACCTGAGCTCTGCTTTTCTGAACATTAATCTGGAGCATCTTCAGACT